ACAAGTGAATCTAAAAATCAAGTGAATAAATAATCTGATGAACAGAATAAACTGGTGAATATAATAGAATCAGGGGCATAGATAGGGAGTGGACTGACTATTCTCGGGGTGGGGGGGCGGGAAAGGGGTATGGGGGATGTGGGAAGAGACTGGACAAAAATCATACACCTATGGCCCTGGCCGGTTTGGCTCAGTGGATAGAGCGTCGGCCTGGGGACTGAATGGTCCCGGGTTCAATTCTGGTCAAGGGCATGTGCCTTGGTTGTGGGCACATCCCCAGTGGGAGGCGTGCAGGAGGCGGCTGATCGATGTTTCTCTCTCATTGATGTTTCTGACTCTCCTTCCCTCTCCCTTCCTCTCTGTAAAAAATCAATAAAATATATTTTAAAAGAAAATCGTACACCTATGGATGAGGACAGTGGGGGTTGGGGGGTAAGGGCAGAGGGTGGGGTGGGAACCGGGTGGAGGGGTGCTATGGGAGGAAAAAAGAGGAACGACTGTAATAATCTGAACAATAAAGATTTAATTTAAAAAAAAAACAAACCCATACTGATCTCTGGAATCCACTCCCAGAAATTCTTTTTTAATTGGTTTAGGGCAGTGGTCCGCAAACTGCGGCTCATGAGCCACATTCGGCTCTTTGGCCCGTTGAGTGTGGCTCTTCCACAAAATACCACGTGCGGGCGCGCACGTACAATGCGATTGAAACTTCGTGGCCCATGCACAGAAGTCGGTATTTTGTGGAAGAGCCACACTCAAGGGGTCAAAAAGCCGCATGTGGCTTGCGAGCCACAGTTTGCCGACCACTGGTTTAGGGTGAAGCCTGGGCATTAGGATTTTTAAAAGCTCTCCAGGTGATTCTAATATGCTGGCAAGGTCTAGAATTTACCCTAAGGCTCTCTAAATACAGGTGGACCTCTGCTATATCCAATTTGATGGGTAGATGGCATGCATAAATGTGGCAAGAGGCTCGGGGAAGAAACTCTCATTTGTTGATCATATACTACATACCAAGTTCTATGCTACTAACTCATGTAGTCTTCTCAATAGCACCTCATTCCTGTGAGGTAGGCACTGTTATCCTTATTGTACAAAGAGGGAAACGGAGACTTCAGAGAGGTCACACAGAATGATTGGCAGACCCAAGAATCAAACCCCAGGTCTGATTCCCAATTCCACACACTTACTGTGACACTATACTGAGATGTCATGCCTCTTATAGCTGGATGACCCCACTCCCTAAAACAGGAAACCTAAGTTAGCTTCAACCCCGAAATCCTATCCCATTGTATCCATGGATTTTCCCATGAACTCCACACAGACAGACCAGCTGCTAGGCTATACTGTAGGCTGCCAAAGTGAAGTGAAGTGCTCCAGGGAGAACTTCTTGATAAGGGACTACCATGTCTGGGTCTTTACTGATGTGTTTCCATGCTATATCTGCTACCTTAAGTCCTGTGGCTATAATGCTTACCTACAAGTCATTTCTTTGCTGGTCTAGTAAAATTATATACTCCATCAGCATCCTCTGCCTTGTTCTCCAGGCAGTACACAAAGAATCAAAATATACTGGCTAAACTGCCTAAGACTGCTGCCAATATCAACATGGACTAAAAGCTAGTGACCTGGGAAGTTAGAGGTGCTAGACGTACATATTTTTGTAATGTGCCAGTAGCCAAATTCCAACAATTTAACTCCATATAATGCACATTTCATTCTGGCTGAGGTATGGGGTTTGTGGAAGGTGGTAGGGACCAAGGGCCTCAGGGAGAGAGAACACTCCAGGGGTTGGGTGGTACCTTTAAGATGTTGCAGGACAAAATCCAATGCTTGTGCAGGTGGCCCATGTTCCTGGGAGAGAAAGAGGTCAGATTAGTCAGTTCTCTCAAAACAGTTCCCGAATTCCTGACTCCTGTTACCGTAACTCTTCTTCCTAATCTCAACCACAGAGCTTGCCCGGGACTATGGCTTCTAGAATCCTCCTTGCTCCACTCACTTAGGATTTCTCAAGTCTCCTCTTACACATCAAGGACTAAATGTGTGATAGGTTTACGCTGTTTTAAGAAAACCTGCTCTATGGCCAACAGTTTTATCTTTCCAGCCTCACCTCTTTGTTGTGCTGTATAGTTACTGCCTTAATTTACTTCTGAATTTTTCGCATCTCCTCCCCCTGCATTACATTAGTTCACACTGACATTCTTTCTTGTTCTCCAGA